GGGGGTGGCCTACCATTCTTGGCATGGGCATTGGTGGTATAGAAGCCATTGCGGATGGGCAGCCGTCCTGTGAGCAGGGCTGCCCTAGCTGGAGTGGGTGCAAACAGAAATGCCATGAGGAGGGCGGGTGTGGGGTTAGGCCACGCCACAGAGTAGGGTATGTGGTTACAGATTCCATGACCCACACAGCAGGACAAGCAGGGCTGCTGTAGCTATCCCCTCAACTCCTTCCCCCCTCCCCCATTCCCCTGCATCAGCCTGGTCCCCAGACTCTGCCTGCCCCCTCCCCTGGCTCTGGGACACCCGCCAGGCCTGTGCAGAGGGTACCCCCGCCTCCAACTGAGAACCACCCACACCCTTCTGGGCACTCTGGCTGTGGGAAATGAGGAACCCACCTCACAGCCTGGGGCCCAGGGGGGAGCCATGGAATGGCCCACCCTCCACCCCTCATCCTGGGAGGAGTCAGCCAGGTTGGTGTGGACCTAGATCAGAGCTAGGAGGTGGGCGCCCATGCCAACTCACATGGCGAACACAGGGGGTTGGCAGAGTAGAAGCTGGGGAAGAGCATCCCTTCTGCGGCCACGCGGTCCAGGTTCGGGGTCTCTCTGGAAGGTTCTCCGTACACCCCTAGGTCGCCCCACCCCATCTGCAGGAGGAGCAGAAAGAGAGATAAGCACCTTCCACAGGGGGTGCTTGTCTTGGCCCCACCCCAGTGCCTGCCAGGGTTCCCACAGCACTCTCATGAGCAGAGACAGAGCTGTGCACATCTGCTGGAGCTTACAGCCGTAGCTTACAACCGTAGCTTCCTCTCCTGAGAACCTCTCTCCGTGAGGCATGCCCATGCCTGCCTGCTCATGGGAACTGCATCTAAACACATATCAACATTAACACACACGTCCTCTGAATCTGTCATGCAAATTTAATTTCAGAAACGAGTGGTGAGAATCCCCCAGAAGCTAAAGCCAGAGTCACACGTGGCCCAGCCACCCCACCCTAGCCACGTGCTCACGAGAGCAGAACTGTGTCCACGCACAGATTGCATACATCAGAAGCTGAGAGGTCATCTGGGACTGGGTGGGTCCAAATCCCACAGGATGAGTCCTTCTGGAAAAGGGAGATGGAGAGACTCGAACACAAATGGCTGCGTGGCAGCAGAGATGGTGTGAGGCAGTCACAGCCCTCGACAGCCACACCTTTGACAGAGGGAGGTGGACGGGTCCTCCCTCACAGCCGAGAAGCCACCCTGCTACTCCTGGCTCCACCTCTGCTACTTTGTTAGATCTCAGGAAGTTAACACTGTGAATGTGGAATAAGACCTAGCCACAAAAAGGAAGGAGGCCCTGGCACAGGCTGCTGGAGAGGAACAGAAGCTGGATACAGGAGGACATGGTGGGCAACTCTGTTCACATGGAAAGAGGGGCTGGGCCAGTCCTCAGAGGGGGGAAGCAGACATGCTGCCAAGGGGCAGGGGATGACTGGGGAGTGGTCGGCAGGAGGGGGTGGATGGGGGCTTGGGCAGGAAAGTAGGGACTTGACGGGAGGGGAGAAAGGGGCAGAGGGGGAGGAGGGGGATGGGAAGAAAGGGGGACAAGAGGGGTTTAGTGGGAGTGGGCGGGGGCAGGACGGAGTGGTCAGAGTGGCTAATGCTAAGCCGGGCAGGGCTCGTGCCGGCTGTGAGATCCCCGAGGCCGAGCGCGTGTTGTGGAACGTGCGCTCATAAACAGGTGCAGCTTCCAGAGCCCCCCCAGCCTCCTGTGTCGAGCTGTGACCACGTGCCAAGCATGGACCAGGAGCCTCGCGAGAGGTGGGTGTCCTACTGGCATGTGGGTGCCCTCTGCCTGGCACACCTGAGCTCCCCAAAGCCCAAGGAGAGCAGCTGTTCACACAGATCATGCAGCTAAGATGGCAGGCACAGGGCACTCTCCCTAGGGGTCACAGGAGACTCCCAAGCAGTGGACAACAGTTGAGGACACACAGGGGCCCTGGAGGACCAGCTAGGGGCCTGCTTGCCCCTGCTCTCTGCTTCACTCCTCCTCGTCCGCCATTGCCGCACGGCATTCTTGGCTATAGAGACGGGGTGGGGGCAGCAGCTCGGCAAGATCAACCGTATTTTTATAATAGAAGACAGTGCAGACAACCGACGGTCGCTGGTGGCCAGTGGTCCAAGGGCTCAGCAGGGTGCTTTGTCACCAGGTCATGTCTATCTTCAGGGCCCCCAGGGCTCCCCACAAGTCCTCGGCAAACCCATCACATGCTGCAGGTATACCTGTCGTGCACATGCAGATCAGGTTGGGAGCTGGACCGCAGGACACAGATGGGACAGAGCCAGGCAATCCCAAGGACATATGCAGACTGTCCCTGCCATCTCAGCCCCCTAACAGGCAAAGTTCCCGGAAGCCACGCTCTCCTTCTGTCCTGTTTAGTGAGCTGACCTCCCGTTCAGGCCTGCGACGCTGGGTGGGGGACGAGGGGTGTGGTCCCTTCTTGGGTCAGCATGGCACAGCAAGCCCACTTGGGGGCATCCCTTTTCTGAAATTGCCCCTGCTGGATGAAAGGGACAGGCCCGGCTCTCCACTGCTAGGGCCTCAGATGCCTCGATAGGGAGGGTCTGGGCTGCAGGCAGTCTGTCCATGGCAGCAAGCTCCCAGAGGACCTGAACGCAAGACACTGCGTGTCTTCGGGCGCTGCTGGGTCATCCAGTGCCCACTAGGGCCCAGAATCACCCATGACAGGTTCAGTGGAGGCAGCTGGTCCACAGGGTGAGCAAGGCTGTGGACAGGGAGAGGGGGTCTCAGCTTAGAAGACAGAGGCGCCCCAGGCTCCTGTGGCTACACCCCTCACCCTAGCCTGGAGGGTACCTTGGGGCTCTGTCATGGCTCCTAGCGCCTACCGGCCGCATCCTGCCCACTTCTGGGAGCTGTACCATGGGGCCCTCAGGGAACACATCCTGCTTAGTCCAGGCAGATGGTGAGAGCCAGTGAGACCTCCCTTCTGTAGGGGTATAGCCATTCTGGGCCCTTCTAAGAGGGGTGAACGTCCTTCTGAGGAGTAAGCCTCACTGTGGGGTGATAGCCCTTCTGGCAGTGGGCCCCGCAGTGGGAGGGGCAGCCCTTCTGGGTGTGGGCCCTTCTGAGGGGGGAAGCCCTTCTGGTAGGCAGGCCCTTCCGTGGCGGGGTAGGCCTTCTGGGGGTGGGCCCCTCTGTGGGGGGCAGCCCTTTTGGAGGGTAGCCCTTCTGAGAATGGGCCCTTCCATGGGGAGGTAGCCCTTCTGGGGGGTGGGCCCTTCCGAGGGGGGAAGCCCTTCTGGGCAGTTCCATGGAAGGGTAGCTCTTCTGGGATGGGCCCTTCCATGGGGACCCTTCCTGGGTAGGCTGGAGACCCGGCTGCACAGGTCAACATGCTCCCCCACCCCACTGCCTCACTAGGGTGTGACCCAAGTCAGGCTGTTGGAACTCATGGGCAAGGACTCATGGGGCAAGCCACCTGACAGGAGTCCACTGACCTTGGTGGGTGTGACCTGGAGTTGCCTGGAACTGTCACGGGGCCAGAGGCTGAGTGAGGATGTGGCATTTCAGAGGCAGCAGAACGTGGAAGGGGAAGTTCTGGGCCCTGCCTGCCGGAAGCCAGGCAGCCTGGGCTGTGGTTAGGAGGACCAGGAACTCTCAGGTTTGCTGGTCACTGTGAGTTGGTTTTCAGTCATTTGCATCAAAGAGTCACTTGCACTCATGCCTTCAGTGCACAGTGCACATGTCACATGTGTACGTCCTTGGCTTCCACTGTCGCACATACGCACATCCTCATCCTCCACCGTTGCTTGTGCTTGGATCCTTGGACCACCCTGTTACTTTTCCGCTGCTTGGGCCCTCAGACTACACTGTTACTGAACATGTCCGCTGACCAGGATGGAGACTTCCCAGAATTCTCTGGATTTCAACAGCCAAGGGAGCCCCCACAGCCACAAGGAAGAGCCCACACAGGAAGGACCCTCAGCACTGGCCCGCGGCTCCAGCCCCAGGTGGGACTTCCCAGACAACTCTTCTCACGTGGAAATGTGCATGTGTGCAGGCCACCCACCACAGCCCCAAACCTCTACATCTGAAACCACACTGTGCCCCTAAAACAGGAGATGGCCTCATGTGTAATTCCACATGTACTGGGAGCCACGTCAGAAAAGTAAGAATAGGCTGGGCACAGTGGCTCACTCCTGTAATTCCAGCACTTTGGGAGGCTGAGGTGGGATGACTGCCTGAGTCCAGAAATTTGAGACCAGCCTGAGCAACATATTTATGAAAAATCAAAAAATTAGCCAGGCATGGTGGCACACCTGTAGTCCCAGCTATTTGGGAGACTGAGGTGAGATGATCGCTTGAGCCCAAGAGGTCAAGACTGTGATGGGCCATGATTGTGTCACTGCACTCCAGCCTGGGCAACAGCGTGAGATATTGACTCAAAAAGAGTTTAAAAAAAAAAGAATGAATGAAAGAAAACAGTGGGGGGGGGGCCACAACATCAATAAGGGTACCTGATTTCAAACCAGGCAAAGTGGGAACCAAAGAGAAGCCCAAACTTTACCTGTACAATGTCCCCTTTTATAATATCGAATACTGAATTGTATCCCACATCTTTAAAACAAAATATAAAAAATTAAAAAGCAAACAAGTGATAAAAAAACTAACAATATATTTCATTTGAGCCAGTACATCTGAAACATTATCACTTCAACAAGTCTTCAATGTCAAAAAATACTCATGAATGGCCAGGAGGAGCTGTGACCCACTTGACATGCCCACCTGTCACCAGGGAAGGGAGCAAGAGGCTGAAAGCAGCCCTGAGAGGAACGCACACTCAGAGAGACCTAATATCGAAACCAACATACCACTGGTCACGGAGCCAGCTGTTGGGTTAGACGCTCCCAGGAGCCAGGGAGCCGGCAGGGAAGTAAGCCTTGCTCAAGACAAACATGTGAGATCAAAGAAAAACACGCCCGGTGTCACCAGGGCGAGTTTTGGGGCGGCTGGGTATGAATGTGCTGTTGCCTTTCCAGGCCGTGTTCATACTAAAGAACTGGTCATTGAACACCCACGATCACCAAGCGAGACATCTTACGCTCTTCTAGCACCATGTCCCATGAGCCTGCACGTGGTGACACATCTGCACCTCTCAACTCCCACCAGCCACGACCACCCAACACTTGCGTGTGGACGCGGTTAGCCTGGGACAGATCTGAAGGCCCCTGTGAGGGTCTCTGTGTCTGTAGCCTTTTGGGGAATGGAGAGGTCCTGAGCGGCCACGATGGCCCCAAGAGTGTCCTGTGTTCAGTGTCTCAGTCCTCACACACCGCAGAAGCCCAGCCTGATAGGCAAGACCCTCCCAGCTGAGACTCAAAGGGCTCCCTCAGTTCAGGACCAGCAGGGTACAGCCCAGGGTGTCTGGTCTCCCCTGACCCCATGCTGGTGATGACAGTGCCTCCCGTTCACTTCAGCAACCCAAGGCATCCAGCGCAGGAAGCGGGGAGATCCATGCTCAGCTCTATAACCCACAGCCGCCTACCAGTGTGATGCCTGTGGGCTGCACACCTGCCCAAAAGCTGACCAACCTCTCAGTTCTCCTTGACCTCAGAAAGTTCTCAGGAGGGCTGGGCCGCTAGGCCAGGGCAGCTGGGGAGCCCTAGGGACCTGGGTGCAAGCCAGAGGGGGAGCCCCGGGTCCAGGCCAGAGAGGGAGCCCTGGGTCTAGACCAGCTGGGGAGCTCTGGGGTCCCGGGTGCAGGCCAGAGGGGGATCCCTGGGGCCAGGAGATCCAGGACAAGAGAGAGGGAAGTGCTTTCTGGCAGGCCCTGGACTGCTCAGTTCTGCACCCCTGCCCTGCCTCCCCGCGCCGTGACAGGGGAGGAGTGAGCAGGTCCTCCCCTTAGTCTGGGCTACTCCGCAGCGGCCGCTGACCTTCCTAGGCAGAGAGGGGCAGCAGACAGTCAAGAGGAAGGTGGCTGGCGCGACCTGGACGCTTCCGCCTCACCCCGGCCACCCTCACTGCGGTCGGCGGACGACATCGGCGGTCACCCAGCACACAGTGGCAGCGCAGGCCACCCAGCAGCCGGATCAGCACGGTCGTGACCCCACCGCCCGACCCCCACGGCCTTCCCCACCCGGCTCTTCTCCT